TTCCCTTCCACCTTTGCTTCTCTCTCGTCCTCTTTCCTCTCCCAACTCCCTAAGGGTCTTCTGCGTCTGCACCATCTGGTAGGAATCTCATCAATACAGCACTATATTCCATTGGCTGCCTGCTCCGATGTGTTTGGGTGGGGGTGGGGGGGTCTTGTGTTGACCCATTAATCATTTGGACCTAACTCCCCAGGGGCACAATAAATGCTTCAGAGACAAGGATCGGAGTCTGCCTCACCTTGAGTGACAGTAGCTACTGAGACATGAGCCACAAATGTGGAATTATCCCCATCAACTGTGAATAGGGGACATCAATTATTTTGAAGGAATTATCCCCATCAACTGTGAATAGGGGACATCTGCCAAAAAGGAGGCCCCCAAACCAAGCCGTAACACTCTTGATTTCCTCCCATGCTACCTAGGTTATATCCTTTAGTCTAATACGATTAGATTCATAATAATAATCTAATAATCATGCAAATAAATATATTTCAATAACCTTTAATCAGGCTCCAAAATGATGACTCATAGTGATGACGGTGTCAATCAAGGCTGAATAACTGCCCAACAGAATTTTCTAATGTTTCCACATGCAGAACAAAATAAAACTCAGACACACACCACAAAACAATGCAAGAATCACCGGCAGTGTGCATGGAGACTGCAAATTTCCTTACAATTTCATCAGAAAGAATGGGTGCTCAGAATCACCTCCCACCCAGGACACAGACGCCATCTGATACATTTTGCTCCCACAGCAATCCTGCCTCATCAAGAGCTGACAATCAGACATGCGAAACAAGTGCTATATATGAATCTTGCAAAAGTATCACCTTGGGAAAACAGAACCAAAACAAATTGAGAAATCATATAAATAATTACTCTGAGCTTCAAGTCTAACATGGAAAAGGAAGACACACAGGCATAAATGTTAATTAATATGACTGTTTAATTACAAGGGCACAAATTAATAAACCAGAATTACTCCAGATTTCCATCAGGCATCCCATCTCTGCATGTGATCTCAGAGGTGTGCGCACAGGGAGAGAAATGCTTAGCTTTCCTTGGCCAGGTGCCCAGCTGGAACGGCATCAGGAATGGGGGAGGTGAGGTCCCTGTGCAAAAGGACCAGGTCCTCCAGCCCCCACCCCTCTCCTCAGACACACTGAGCCCTCATCGACATCAGCAGATGCAAGCTTCCACCAGGATATCTCCCTTAATTAGGAAATCATTCCTCATACAGCTATAAGGACCCCACCACAACATGTTAAGGACAAAATGAAACCCAGCACAATCAAGAGGCAAGATTTATTAATAGCCATTGGATATGCCAGGTACTCTGTATCTCTGTGTTTCTCTCTCTCTCTCTCTCTCAATTTATTTTGGTTTCTGATTTCCCAAAGTAATGCTTTTGAAAAATTCATATACATCACTCGTTTTGCATGTGTGATTGTCAGCTCTTGACAAGGCAGGATGCTGTGGAAGCAAAATGCATATCAGACTCAATTCGGAAGATGGTATATCTACATGGGAGAAATCATCCCATTATACTGACATGAAAAAAGAGGCTCTGAAGTCATCGAATCTGATTTTGCCAAAGCTACATAACTAGAACACAGAAGGTTCTAGATGTCTGTGCACTTTTCATTATAGCCAGCCTCTTTCTAGAAATCAAAAATGCTTCCTCTTCTGAAACTTACACTATAACATTCATTTGATCATCTTCCCATTCAGTAAAGTCAGTTGTGGATCTACGAAATGCCAGCTTCAGATTATGTTCTGGGAATATGATGGTGAGCAAAAACTGCCCCAGAACCCCACTTTTGAGTGACTTACACAGGAAGTAGCAGAGGATGCCTCAGACAAAATAATCATGCAAATAAATATATTTCAATAGCCTTTGATCAGGATCCAAAGGGGAGAGAATATGGGGGCTACAAGAATTCATAAAAGTGAGGGTTGAGTGGTCAGGGAAAGCTCCCCTAAAGAATAATGGTTGAAGGGTGATCTAAAAGATGAATATGAATATATAATACATAGTAGCAGAATATGTATGAATATAGAATTCTCTCTGCTTATTCTGTTTTCTTCCCATCCATTCACCCTCCACCTGCTCCAACCTAACGCACCTTGTGCTCCCATCACTCTGCCTCAGGAGTTCATGGGATGAATTTCATGGACATTTCAATCCTCTATTTCCTTGAGCTCTCAGGCATTTTGGACAGAGTTGATCACTCCCTTCTCCTTGAAATCAGCCCCCTCTTGGCTTCTGAGCCAGAAATGTATTTGTTTTCCTCCTGCCTCTTTGGATCCTCTCTGAAAATCGCCATGACATCATCGTTCCCCAAGTGTTCTTACATTCTTTCCCTGGACAACCTCATTCCTCCCAACGGCATTACTGAGCACCCCACTGTGGTGATTCTCATGTTTGTATCTCCAGCCCGGACCTTTCTTCTGGACTCCAGATCTGTATTTCCAAATGGCCCGATGGATGGCTGCTCTTGGATGTCTCAAAAGCACCTCAACTCAGTATGGCCAAAACCGAGTTCATCTTGTGACCCCGATGCATCTCAGAGACATCTATCCAACTGGCAGCACAGAACCCCAAGCATCATGCATGATCTCTTTTTCTCCTTGCCTATGTGATATCTTGAATGATGGCGCCCAAAGATGTCCAGGTCCTTTTCCCTGGAACCTTATCAGCAAAAAAAGGGACACTGAAGATGTGATTAAATTAAGGAAACTGAAATATCGTAAGCCTCAAAGTGGAGAGATTATCTTGGATTATCAGGCTGGGCCCTAAATGTAATCACAAGGGTCCTTATGAGAGGGATGCAGAAGGTAGTAAAATAATGGGGAGCAGAGAGTGAAAGGATGCAGCCACAAGCCAACGAATACCAGCAGCTTCTAGAACATGGAAGAGGCGAGGAACAGATTCTCCCCTGGGGCCTCAAGGAAAAACCAGCCCTGCCAAGACTTTGATTTTTATTTTTTTTTTTATTTTTTAAGATTTTATTTATTTATTTGACAGAGAGAGAGAGACAGCAAGAAAGGGAACACAAGCAGGAGGAGCGGGAGAGGGAGAAGCAGGCTTCCCACTGAGCAGAGATCCTAATGCGGGGCTCGATCCCAAGACCCTGGGATCATGACCTGAGCCAAAGGCAGATGCTTAATGACTGAGCCACCCAGGCATCCCAAGACTGATTTTTAGCCCTCGTTTCTGACTTCTGGCCACCAGGACTATAAGAGAATAAATTGCTCTTATTTTAAGCCATAAACTTGTGATGTATGTTATAGCCACAATAGGAAACTAATACATCCTACTCTAACATACATGCTACCAAAGTGCCTTTATTTAGCTGCCCAAATAATTCCCAAATGTGTCTACTTTGGCCTATCTCCATAGCCCCTTCTCTGAGACGGTCTCCTGTCATCTCTCAGTCTGTGAGCAGATACCACAGCCTCTGACTTCCCATGGCTCCTAGGATAAGAAGCAATGTCACTGGCATGGCCCCCCGTAAATGTGCTTGTCCTGGTCCCTGCCTCCTTTACCAGGTTTATCTTGTACCCAGACACACACTGGCCTTCTTTCAGTTCTTGGAGAGTACTAATTCCCTAACCACCACAGGGCCTTTGCACAACCTTCTCCCTTGGCTGGGGATGCTTGTTAATTTCAGATAATAACTTAAATGTCATGTCCTCATCCTATTTTCTCTGATCTCCCAGCATTGGGTTCATCTAGCACATACAACAATTGAAATTTTACACTAATTTTTAGGACTGTATCACTTATGTCTAACTCCCCAGGTAGTAAGTCCTCAGAGAACAGGCTAGTTATGGCTTGGTGTGCCCACCACTGCATCCTCAGCATCTAGCATAGGACCTGGCAGAGAACAAGTGTTACAAATATGTTTGGATGAGTCCCAGAGCCAAACGGAGTGCCTTTGGGCATCTGTGTGGATAGGATGGGTGGTCTCAGTAGTTGGCTTTGTCCGACCCCTTCTAGCTATGCAGTTAGAGAAAGTGGGGAGGGATGTCATGAGAAGAATTTGATTGCACTCAGCAGTGGCCAAGAAAACTCCAGAATGAGAACTTAATCCTCATCAGCAGCATCTTCTTAAAACAGGCACTGGGCAGAGTTCTCAGTTAACTTAGTATTTACAGGGGGGAAATATGAAGAGTTTTGGGGGTTTTTTGCCATTAGCCTAGCCCCTCTCCATTTCCAGCCCTGTAAAGTTTCCTTGGCAATTTTTCCTTCAGTTTCTCAGATGAAAGTACTTTGGAAATTATCTAATAATAGACCAGAGTCTTTAAATAGCATTCTGTGCCAGGGGGGCTTACCTGAAGGCACATCATAGGCTACTTGGGGTTGGAGGTGGCTCTGCATTAACCAAAGCCCCTCTTCATCTATTCTGGGGACTGGGATTTCACACAAAAACTTTTGATAAAAGTTTTTTGTGACTAGAAAGAAAATATTTTATATAAGGCATGATTTATGTTATTTGCACCACATTTCATAGTTTTCAACAAAATACTTGTTGATTTCTTTTTTTCCATTCAGTTCTTCCATAAACCCATCAACTAGAAGGGGATTATTTACTCCAGTGGATATGAGAAAATGGCTCAAGGAGGTTAGGTAACTTGCCCAAAATCACAGACCTGGTAATAGGGAAGAGCTTGGACTCAAGTCCAGGACACTGGACTTTCTAGAAGCCATGGAATAATGGTTTGAGTCCATTTTATGGGCTTATTTATTTATTCATCAAGGAAATTACTTCACTGAACATTTAGGTTTCCTATGTAAAGAGAAAATAGCACACCATTTTAGGTGTGGCAAGGTGAGGTGGCTAGAGTAGGGGTAAATTTATTGCCTTCTTTGTGCTTCTCTGTAACTTCTACAATGTATGTGCAATAATTTCATACTTAGGAAACATTAGAAAATAAACAAGTATTCATTTGAAGTAAATCCACGGGTAAACAAAGGAAGGTCTCCTACTCACCTTGGGAGCGCAAGGGAGATGACTGATTATTTGTAACCAGCTCTGAGCCTTGATGATAAAAGGGAATGGGCAGTGATGTGGTACTGGGTAAAACCAACTCTGTTGCTTCTGAGACAGGCAAACCTGCTTCTCCAATTACCATTTGTGTGTCTCGAGTCTCTGGAGAAATGGAGAAATGAAACATTTCAGACTCTATTTTCTTGTCCCTTGGCATTTTTTAACAACCAACCAACCTATATTGGTCAAGACTCTAGAACAGAAGTTGCAGAAACACAACTGAAACTAGCTTAGAGGGCAGAAGGAATTCGCTGAGTTACATAAATGAGGAACTAAGGAAGCTCATCGCAGTCATGGCTCCTGTTCCATCTATAAACTCAGCCTTCCCCTTCTTAGTGCTTAAGCACACTCGCCCCATGTGACTGGAAAGGCGAGCACCAGCAGGCTTGTTGTTCTTATCTTCCCAGATTGGGAAAACTGGTGGGAATAAAACCTCTTCAGAGCCTTCACACTAAGCGCAAGGTTGATTCTGATAGGCTACGCTTGAATTCCGTGGCCCCGCCCCTTCTCAGAACCAATCACTGTGGCCAGGTAATAGGGAGTAGGATGGGCCCAGCCAATCCCGTGTGCCCACCTCTGTGCCCAGGGGCCCTCTTCCTGGAGACCCAGCTCTCGTGATGAATACCGAACAAGGCAAAATCCTGACTAAGCCAGATGATGTGAGAATTTCCCTTGGCCAGAGGGTCCAATTTACGTGTGCCGCTGCAAGGTTTAATTAGTTTGTGAAATGCATTAAATGATAAGTAAGTTTTGCTAAGCAACATTTCTATACTTAGCGGGGGCAGAGAGAAAAACTTTAAAATCAAGGTGACAACACAGAAACAAAGGAATGTTTGGTCAGGAAAAAAAAAATAGGACCATAAAATGTTAGGTTCTAGAGAAAATCATCATGGCATGAGGTTCCAAGAAAGCAGGTATGTGGCCCCCTGACATGGACTAAACCCTGGATGGCCACCAAGTTCTTCCCGATAATTTTTGTTGCATAACTACTCTTTGCAAATAGGAGACAAGAATTGCAGAAGATGCTCCTCCCTCAATAAAACTCCAAATAAGTTAGATATTGAATAAGACACTGAGATCCTGGCAAGAATACACAAAAAATTGGGCCTCGAGCTGTTGAGAGATGATAAATTGTCAGTTACTGTTTAATAAGATTGTGTCTCATCACCATCTCCTGTAAGGGGTTTGATAGCTTTTGTTTTTAACCTGTGAAGATGAAAATCTATTCCCAGCTAGAGCTGGAAGCCCCAAACCATACAGCTGCAATATATCAATTAATCAGTCAATCAGTTGGCCAACAGATCAGCAAGACTGTATTGAGGATCAGTTCCTACTGGGCATCTGGGGCAGGGGAAAGAATTAGAAAATTTGCCCCCACAGACGCTGGATGAGGGAAGCCACGATTCAGAAGGCATTTACTCCAACCTTAAAGGCAACAGAGAACCTCTTTCCATTAGAATTACGTTGGGTCGGCATGTCCCATGTTCCCATCTGTCCTGTTGTATAGACATGTTTGATTTTAGACCCTGGGTTAATCCACAGGCTTTGACTGCCACCTCTGCCCTACTCAGGGCTCAACACCAGCAACATTACTCCTTATATATCAACTGGGTTTATGGATCCTATCTGTGCTCCCTGGGCATTTTATGAGACAGAACTAGGGATGAAAAACCTGGAATCAAGCTCAAATTCCACCCCTACCCTTCAGTTATACAGCTGCCCTTGGCCCCGGTATCTTTAGCCACCAAAGCAGAAATAACAACATGTGCCTTGTCGCCTGCAAGGATTAAATGAGATCACAAATGCAGAGTGTTTAAAATAAGACCTGGTACAGAGCTAATGCTATTTTGTTAACATTACAATCACCACTGGTGGTAGTGGTGTTATTTCAACCATCAGATGGGTACTCTCAGGTTAGATTTTTTTTTTTTTTTTTTTAGTATCCATAAAAATGAGTATAGGCATGTTTTGCTCCTCTGTTCTTTATCCCTCTCTAAATGGACCTCCTCACCCTACAATAATCCTATTAAATTCTACAGACTTTCACTTGCATGACAAATATCCCACTGGTTTCAGCCCAAACAAAAAACTAATTGTCCCCTTGTTTGTCTATGTGTGAGTTTGTTTTTCCAGATGAAACATTTCAGACTCTATTTTCTTGTCCCTTGGCATTTTTTAACAACCAACACTGTATGAGTTCACCACAAAGCTAGGGCTTCTTGGAGCAAGGAAGTAAGAGTGTGTGAAACCAGTGGCTCTATTTCAAGCCACGGTTCTTAATTTCAGCGAAGAAACGGCTGAAGGAGTGTGATATAGAGGAGAGAACATAAACTTGAAGGTCAGGAGAGGCAGCGTCTTAATTAAGCCTGCCTCCCCTCTTCCGCCTCCTCTAAGTTACATGACACTGGGTATGTATCTAAACCAGTGCAAAAACCAACTATTCTTCTCGCCCTTCCAAGAATGAATTCGGCAAGATTTATGGACATTATTTCCTTATATATTCCTCACAATGACATTAACAAATCAGAGGCATCATGACCCTTCAGGGGAGGAAATCAGTGGAAGTATTTCCCTGGGAGGCTCTGAAGAAAGAGGCCAAAGGCAGAAAAGCAGGAGATTCAAGTTCAAGTCCCGGTCCTACCATCAGGATGTGGGCGACCTTCAAAAAGCCTCCTCTTCATGCTGGCCTCCTTTCTCTCTTTGAGAATGGGGAGATTGAGACTAAAGGATCCATTAAATGTCCTTCCAACTCTGGCACTTGGTCACACTCCGTTCTAAGACTTCCCATGGAATAAAATCTTAACTGCTCTCCCTTCTCTCTCAACTGCCTTAACAACCACACCTGCTGCCTCTTGCTTGTCAACAATAACTAGTATTTGTTGAATGTCAGATATGCGTCTGACTGTGCCAGATGCCTTACCTTATTCTCATCCTAACCCTCTGAATCAGATGCTATTATTATCCTACTTGATAGCTAAGGAGTCCAGAGCCATGAAAGGTTACAACACTTCTTAAGAAACATTTCTGGGGCATGAGATGCAGACCCACATTGCTGTACTGCTTCTCAACAAGACGACCTCGGCTTGCGAGATACAGAACTTGCAAGATAAGGCCACCCCTTAGACAGAGACCCCTGGGGTCTCTAAAGCATCTCCCTTTGTTCAGTAGTTCTTCCTGCCCTGCCCCCCATCTCCAGTTTGGGCTTTGATTTAGGTCTTTGATGGGGGGAGGGGCAACATGGGTTAATGAATGGTTCAGAGATCTTGTTGGTGGGCTGAGCAGAAGAAGAGTCCCTTGTCTGTCCGGCAGAATGCATGCCCTCAGAGGACCTACCCAAGCCTGTGGTCCTCCTCTGGAGCACTCCTGCCCATGAGGCTATTGGGCAAGTTAAGTGGGATACTATAGTTTAAACTCCAGAGACAACTGCTGACATACCATTGACCTTACTCTACCCTTACTCCTATCCCACTTTAAGACCCAATCCTTGGAAAGCTGCTTTTCTATTTTTGGAATTGATCCACCCCTCTCTGAATCAATCCAGGTCCCAACAAGAAAGAGATTACATGCTGCCTATGTTCCCCTCTAGGATTTTGATGGATTCCTATCTCACATTTAGGTCTTTCATCCATTTTGAGTCTATTTTTGTATATGGTGTAAGGAAATGGTCCTGTTTCATTCTTCTGCATGGGGCTGTCCAATTTTCCCAACACCATTTGTTGAAGAGACTGTCTTTTTTCCACTGGACATTCTTTCCTGCTTTGTTGAAGATTAGTTGACCATAGAGTTGAGGGTCCATTTCTGGGTTCTCTCTTCTGTTCCACTGATCTATGAGTCTGTTTTTGTGCAAGTACCATACTGTCTTAATGATGACAGCTTTGCTGAAAACAGAGTGACTCAGGAGAGTTTATTGCTGAATGGGCTATGAACCAAGGCGTGGGTAAAGGGCACTGAAGTGAGAGGACAATAAGTAGAGTCTTGGTAGCAGAATTTTACCACCCCAGGACCAAAAGGCTGAGAGCGGAGGGGTAGTTATTAGAAATCAGAGAGAAAAAGAGAGAGAGAGAGAGGCACCAAGGACAATCACCTTTCTTGGGAGGAGCAATCTCTAGTCGAAGGACATAGCCAGCCAAGAGGTGGCCTGGTAGGGAGGCAGTTAGGGGACAACACTCTGACCTCACTATTGGCTGTGAGGGTTTGTTCCAGAACATTTAACTGGCCCGACCTATTTTGCAAAAATACCAGACCCTTGGTCAGGGCATGAAGTGTACTGATTAACAGTGTTGCTTTGTCACTGTGGGTACAAGGCGTTTGGGGCTGGTTCGCACCAGCTCGGGGGCGTTGTTTCTTGGCAATGGCAATGTGGATGACTTGCACTCTCTAACCTCCCTCCGAACACTTTTTGGGACTCCCCACTGGCAGGGCCCAATTGGAGGAAGCAGGCAGAGGAACTCCTTGATGTCACACATGTAATTCAGCTTCGGCAGCAGAGTGCAAGCTGGAAAAGGGTGGAGTGGGGGTCTCCTGGTCACTGCTTCAGCCTCAAGGCTGTGTCCCATGCACCACACTCACTGGGATCTCTTTTACATCAGAACATCAGACACATGGCCCCACCCACCTGACCATGAGTCCGCTCAGCGCCCCGCTCCCCCGCATCCCATGGGCATCTCCTCCGCCCATCTCGGAGCCTGGCACGGAGGAGGGTGCACAGTGAGTATACAGCACCTCCAGGGCCAGCAAGCATCGTGGAGAACCAGCCAGCTGCCTGCTTTCCCCCAAGGTCTACTCTTTGTTGTTGTTGTTGCTGCCAAAGAAGCTTGCCAGTTTCCCGGCAGCTACAGAGACGCGTTGGAAGGTGGGGAGAGATGGTTGAGCGGAGAGAGCTGTTGCAGGTGGAGGTCCAGCCAGAGCCGGTCTCCGAGTGCCTCCCCAGGTGACATCAGATAAACAGAGATGGGAATCACATTTCAGTGTGACAGCTTAAAAGGCATGTCAAGAAACAATTAAAAAGATCTAGAGCAACCAGGCCCTGAGAGACTTTTGTTGGAGTGAGACCGCTTCCCATCCTCTGATATGGGGGCGACATGGCCCAGGAGCACATGTTC